AATCCATATTTATTTCACTCAATTCATGGTTCAAATATTTATGGAGTACTCAGAATGTGCCAGGTATTGTTGTAGCCGTTAGGGATACAGCAGTGGGGGAAAATAAAAACGAGAACAAAAAAAAACCCTGCCTTCATGGAATTTATATACTAGTGGAAGGAGGGAGGCAAATAGAATATATAATATGTTAGATGGAGAAAAATAAAACCAACACGAGTTGACAGGTCACAATTTAAACAGGCAGGCTAGAGAAGTCCTCACTGAGAACAAGCTCTTTAGGCCAAGACATGAATGAAGTGAGGGAGAGCACATTAGAGTATCTGGGGGAAGAAACTTAAGGAACAACCAAGCACAAAGGGCCCTTGTAAGGGCAATAAGCTTCTGTTAGGTAAGCCCAGGGAGTGACCAATTACCTCTCAGAGGTGAGAAAGGAAAAGAACTCCCAGATAATACTAAAAACACTCCCTGCTCCCAGTTTTTATGTCACCTTTAGCCTCAAAACCCTCACTCCAGAAGAGAGGCCTTGTGGGATTTTTCTGCTCCAACATATAGAAATAGCCTAAGTTTGGCTGCCTCTTCTAAAAATGATACCCAAATTCACCGAGGTTTGACAGCACCTAAATGGTGAAACTGAGGCACAGGTCTGCAGTTCATACGGACTTAGGTTAGCTCTCCATCTTCACTCTGCCCTTTACCCTGAAGGCTTTACACTCTGGGCACCTGTTTCTCACCTGTAAAAAGGAGTATGTCATCACCCAGACGTCTGTGACAACTGAAGGAAAGGGCCAATGCCTGGCAAATGACATGCACTCAACAAATATTCAATTTCTTCTCAACTCCCCTCAAAAATAGAATCCACGGTTCCTATCCTTTTCCTCCTGGCCTTATGCTTTCGTGTTCAGAGGCAAAGAAAAAGATTGGTCCCGGTGGGTCAGTAAGGGCTCAGAAGTCCTGTCTCCCGTCATTTCTTCAACTGCCAGGTTTCGTGCTGTTCTCAGTATGAGAAGAGGGAAAAATCCAGCCTGAGGTGAAGACGCAAAGAGAGGGAACTGAACCAAGGGTTCCTAGGCCTGGACCTGGCCTGCCAATGCCAGGCAGGTGATGGACATGTGGCCCTTGTGCAAGCAAGCCCAGCTTCGAGGAGCCCGTATGGACAAACACTCTTACTCTCCAAAGCTGACAAGGTACAAATTAACTGCACCAGTGACCTTGGATGAACGGATGCCTTATAGGAAGCGGCCCGGCCCATCAGCTCCGCAAGTGCCTCCTACAGCTGTGCTCAAACCCAACCGGTAATCCGGGGGTGCCCTCCCTGGTACTCACATCTCCCTTATGCAGCTCCGGCGCCGCGATCCTCACGGGCTCTTTCCTCTTCTTTGGCTTGGGAAGCCCCATGGGGGGCCCGGCCCCGCCAATTGGAGGGGGGAGACTGAGGCCAGGGCCTCGGGGCGAGGGCAGCCCCAACCCCAACCCCTCCCCAACTCCCGCCGCCTCAGCCGGGCTCACGCCTGGAGGTGGGGGGAAGCCACCCAGGCCGAAGGGCAACGGGGGAGGAGGTTGAAGCCTGGGGTCTCCGGTGGGTGGGGGCAGCAACAGAGGCGGGGGAAAGGCTGAGGCTAGCATCTGAGGGGGCGGAGGCAGCAAGGCCGGACCCTTGGGCGCAGGGAGAGAAGCGAACAAGCCTCCTAAAGTGGGCCCAGATGTAGGTGCCGCCGCCTTCTCTTCCTCTGGCTCGGGCTCAGCCTCATCCGGCTCACTCTCATCGCTGCTGGCGTAAGCAACCAGCGACATGGCGCCTCCCGCCTTTGGGGCGCCCTTGCCGGTAGACAAGGCCTACTTGAGACCGGGGATGCCCGGAGGCCTAGTAGGCCCCGCCACTAAGCTGGGCGGGGCACCGAAAAGTCCGCCTGCTCCGTACTCTAGGGCTAACCCCGGCAGCAACCCATGGCTACGATTGATTTCCACCGAATAAATCTTCCCTCTTCACTTAAGCTCCTAGTCCCGGGCAACTACACACAGCTAATGGCCGCCGAGTCACTCCGCCTCCTCCTCGCTTCACCAATAGAGAAACTACAACTCCCAGCGAATACATTGACGGCAGCCCTATTCTTTGCCACAGGGATCTCGGCGCAAGGCACGGCGGGAATTGAAGTCCAAGTCCGGATTAAGGGGCGCGCAGAAAGTCAGGAGGGACACCCGTCTCTGACGCAGGTCCTCCTGGGATGAGTAGTTTTTTTGCTCGCCTGACAATTCCTAGGTGACTACAAGCCCCATCGGTCTCCGCCTTTGCTTGGAGATGATTAGAGAGCATATCGGTACTTGGAGTTCCCTAGGGCAGCCCCTTGAGCGCTAAGATCTCTGGGAGACGTGGTGTTCTCCGAAACTGCAAGTGATGTCGGGAGTGCTCGGGCGTCTGGGAAGGTGGCGGATCGGGGAAAATAGTTTAAAGGGGAGGTGATCTGTTAAGAAGTTCTCGAGTCAGCTGGGATTGGGAGTTAGAATGAAACATGTTAAAAAGAGCAAGGGCCCGAGGGACCGAAATCGGGCCGCAAGCCAGAAAGAAGCGAAGCCACAGGGTTGATACTAAGTATCTGAGAACTGAAACGTGACGTAAGAGGGAAGAAGCACGCCCTTGCACCATGACCCGGTGCACAGTACGCTGTACAACTTGCCCTGGGCCTGGGCCTCTTTCTGCAGCGACCAGTGAGACAGAAAGATGGGTGAGGCCCCGCCGGCCAGGGTCGCATACTTGGAGTTAATTCCTTCTCAGCTCAGTGGGGTAAAGGCCCTTTCACAGTTCTGAGGAATCACTTGAGTCCATCTCCACCTGCCTGTGCCCCTCACCTATTCATCTGCAAGTGTCCTTTGCATCCCTTAATGTCTGTAAGTGCTGTTTCTTATAATTTTGTGTGTGCCCTAGTTATATTTGTCTCTGAAAGTGTCTTTCTTAAGACACTTAAGGGTCCCTTTCAAGCTCATTTATGTCTGCCAGTGATGATGGTCTCTGCATCGGTCCTTCCCTGTTCACCTGTGATTTTGTGTCCTTTCTTTTTATTTCTTTCTTTTTTTTTTTTTTTTAGATTATAATAGTAGCCTGGGTGGGTTCATTACTTGAGTAGGGTTGCACAATCTGAGTTAGGGAGAGGGACTAATTTAGCCATCCCTCCATTCATCCACTAACCCATCCCCCCAGTCAACATTTATTAACTACCTTCTATGTGCCAGACACTGTGTTAGTGTCTGTCCTCTCGTTTGCCATCTTTGCCCTAAGTGCCCTTTACTTGCCAGCCCTGTTTGTGTGTGTCCTTTACCTGCCAATCCACCTCCTTGCTACCAGAGAACAGAAAATTCTATTGAGCTCAGCACCCAAAAAGGTTGTTGAGGTTTTGGGAGGAGGCTGAAGAGGAAGATGATGATTGACAACAATGAAGAGAGACAATGAAAACCCCCAGGTCAAATCCTCCATCAGACAAGTCTGACTTGGGGCCCTTCCTCCCCACCCTCTCCATGTGTCTGAATCCCACCTTTCCTTCAGAGACAAACTCATGCCATCTTCTCTGTGAAGCCTCCTTAGTCGTTTCCCCTAGAGCACTTTTCTGTCCACCAGTACTCAAACGTGAATGTGCATAAGCATCACTAGGAAAGCTTCTGAAAAATACAGATCCTAAATTCCAGCCAAAGAGATTTCTTTCTATAGGTAGGGTGGGGCCCAGAAGCCTAGATCTTTAAATTTCTCAGTTGGTTGCAAAACTAGTACATGGAGAGCCACATTAAGAAACCAAACCATCCCATCAAGTCTTACCTCACAGCTGATGTGCCTTGTAAGTGCTGACTTCTGAAACCTGCTTTTGAATCTAGGTTCTCCAACCTACTCTCTGGTGACTTTGGGCAGTCACTTCTCTGAGTCTCTTTCCTCCTTTGAAAAATGGCATGTTAGGGAGCCCTGTCCTACTTCTGTGAGAAACCTCTGACATTATCATACAGTGAAATGATTTTGAACTAAGAGAAATGACTACCCTTGTTATTTGTCAACACATAATTGCTGCCCCACAGTGAAGCCCCTAAAGAGAGGGACCTTTCTTTGCCAAGTATAGTCTAATCCAGTTCTTACTGTGAAGATTATGATTCATCTTATTAGGTATATACCCTGCCCTCAAAAGGTTTTTTTTTTTTTTTTTTCAGTTTGGCCGAGGCCAGGTTTGAACCCGCCACCCTTGGCATATGGGGCCAGCGCCCTACTCACTGAGCCACAGGCGCCACCCCCCTCAAAAGGTTTTTTCAAGCAAGAAATTTATAATATAATAGAAACTTCAGAACAGGGAAGGGAAAGGGATTTCCTTTTCTCATTATGCACCCTCTTTTATATCATTAGAAGTTTGGGTGTTTTTTTTTTTTTGGTTTTTTTTTGTTACAGAGTCTCACTATGTTGCCCTTGGTAGGATGCTGTGGCATCATAGCTCTTAGCAACCTCCCACTCCTGGGCTCAAGTGATTCTCTGGTCTCAGCCTCCTAAGTAGCTGGGACTATAGGCACACACCACAACACCTGGCTATTTTTTTTAGAAATGGGGTTTCACTCTTGCTCAGGTTGGTCTCAAACTCCTGAGCTCAAGCAATCTGCCCATCTTGGCTTCCCAAAGTGCTAGAATTACAGGTGTGAGCCACCTCACCTAGCCATCTTTAGACGTTTGTAACCAGTACATGTATTACCTTTTCAAAACTAATAACAACAATAAGATCTTCCAGTAAAAGATAGTGAAATGAATAGATGTATCTAATTTGTTTCCTCCCTAAAGCCCCATGAAAACTGTAACAAAGGGATTTTTTTTAGAAGGCATTAAAGATAATTTTTTTTTTTTTTGCAGTTTTTGATAGGGGCTGGGTTTAAACCCGCCACCTCCAGCATATGGGGCCAGCGCCCTACCCCTTTGAGCCACAGGCGCTGCCCAAGAGAATTTTTTATTTGAGACAGAGTCTCACTGTACTGCCCAGGTAGAGTGCCATCCTTTCAGCCTTGCTTGCAGCAACCTCAGACTCCTGGGTTCAAGGGATCTTCCAGTACATTTTGAAAAGACTTAAACCTTGGACAGTACTTATGACTCAAGGAGTAGAGCGCCGGCGCTATATACCAGGGATGGCAGGTTCAAGCCCGTCCCCAGCCAAAATGGCAAAAAAAAAAAAAAAAAATAGATTTAAACCCACAAAAATGAGTTCAGAAGAGGAGACAACATAGTAACATTCTAGAAAGTGGAAGGCAGGGTGGTGCCTGTGGCTCAGTGAGTAGGGCCCTGGCCCCATTATACCAAGGGTGACTGGTTCAAACCCGGCCCCGGACAAACTGCTACAAAAAAATAGCTGGGCGTTGTGGCGGCGCCTGTAGTTCCAGCTACTTGGGAGGCTGAGGCAAGAGAATCGCCTAAGCCCAGGAGCTGGAGTTTGCTGTGAGCTGTGACACCACAGCACTCTACCGAGAGCGATAAGTAACACTCTGTCTCTTAAAGAAAATAAAAAAAAACTTAGAAAGTGGAAGGCAGTTGCACAGAGGTACCTGATTTGGCACAGCCAAGAGAGCTGAGACCCAGCCTGGGCCTCAGGGCTGAGAATCAAAGTGATCTAAACAGCAGAAGACTCAGAGAGGGCTCAGGAGTGGTGGCATCAAGTATCTCTGGAAGTGGAGAAGGGAGGGGACCAAACATCAGGGCCATTTAAAAGTTAAGAGTGCTAGGATTACAGGCGTGAGCCACTGTGCCTGTCCAAGAAGAAAACTTTAAAAACCTATCAGTAATAAATGCAAAGCAAGACCACCCTGAGAAATCACCTAGCCCCAGTGAGAATATCCCATATCACAAAGTCCCAAAATTGTAGATGTGGAGAGAAGGGAACGCTTTTACACTGTTGGTGAGATTACAAACTTATACAACCTCTTTGGAAAGCACCATGGAGAATCCTCAAAGAACTCAAAATAGACCTTCCATTTTATTATGCAATCCCATTACTAGGCATGTATCCAGGAGGAAAAAATTATTTTATCATAAGGACATTTGCATTATTAGATTGTTTATCACAGCTCAACTTATAATCACCAGGATGTAGAAACAACGTAAATGCCTATCAACTCATAAATGGATCAATAAACTGTGGTATGTGTATACCAGGAATACTATTCAGCCATAAAAAGATGGAGACTTTGGGCAGCGCCTGTGGCTCAGTGAGTGGGGCGCCAGCCCCATATACCAAAGGTGATGGGTTCAAACCCGGCCCCAGCCAAACTGCTACAAGGTGCTGTGGCGGCGCCTGTAGTCCCAGCTACTCCTGTGGCTGAAGCAAGAGAATCGCCTAAGCCCAAGAGCTGGAGGTTGCTGTAAGCTGTGATGCCACAGCACTCTACCAAGGGTGACAAAGTGAGACTGTCTCTAA